TTATTTATGATAGAAACAAAATGAAACTAATGGGACAAGATTTGAAAGCTGTGATGCATGAAAGGTGCTATAGAGGCAGCTTTGGCACCATGACAAACAAAGATAAAGACTCAGTGGGAAGCAACAGTGTGAACATGACTATGAAGAAGAAAGAATAGATTTACTGAATGAATCCTTGCCATCTGGTGTTTATTTAATACACAATGAAGGTCAAATGGCTACTGATCCTTTCTTCTATAGTCCAGTGACTATAAGAATGGGGAGAATCAATGGATTTATCAATATGTCTGGAAATGTTTTACCGTATGATCTGATTGAGTCAATATTATTGGAACAACATGTCATTACGGTTTCAGATGTGGATAGGTTAGATGGCTACAACTATGAACATTTCCCCTAAGCAAACAAAATGATCACTGATTCCATCAAAATTCACGTAGGCACTTGTAATTAGAGAAATATATCTTATTGCTAACATGCAAAATGCTTACAAAAGAGATATATATTTTACACATTAGAAACTGAGTTGGCTTATGCTAAGCAGTATGGGGTTTTTTTTTTCTCCTTTGTGTTGGTCCTATCTTTCCTCTATAGTAGATCGATTATGCACCTATTTATATGTAATTATACTACAGGGACATATTAACTTTTCATGAAATACGCTTATTAGGAATTATATGTAAACAGCATACGCTCTGAATAAATCTTACATATATTTAACAGTATTATTTTACATAACATTCTGTCTCCTTGCAGGTTCTCTCAGTTGTATACTTTCATGTAAGCACTATTCTCGAATACACGTGATGTCATAAAATTTGCCCATGCACTGTACTGATGGTGTAATTGTAGATTTGAGGAGTCTGCTTAGCTCTTCTATTAATATTTAAATACATGTCGTAGCTTTTATCAGTTTTATTGTTATACTTTTCATCTGGTCAAAAAACAGAGAGGAGAAAAGCCGTAAAAAAGAGCCAATGAAAGGACACAGAAATACTCACTTTAACCTCCAAATAGAAAACCCTACTAAGAATTAAGATAATGTACAATAGATATTTTATTTCTTCCATGCATACAATATCTTGAAAATGTTAAAAGGGTAAATCTTAGCTGTTGGTACAGAAGACTGTACGTTAAAACTCAGCTCTGTCTCTAATTTGCTGTATGACCTTGGACAAATCATTTAACTTCTTCATTTACCCACCTTTAAAATGGTCATAATGTTAGTTTGGGAG